TACATAAGCAATTAAAAGATATTTTCAGTCTGTACTTAGTTGAATCTGAGGTTGCAGAGTCCATGGATAAAAAAGGGCAACTGTCCAGGCCCCAGATGGATTCAGTGCTAAATTCTACCTGAATTTTAGAAAAGAAATAGCACCCAAATAGGAACACTACCAAATCATTTTCACAAAGCCTGATGCCAAACAAGACAAAGATACAACAAAAAAGAAAATTATAGACTAATCTCCCTGTAAACATAGATGCAAAAATTCTCAGTAAAATACTTGCAAACCGAATTCAAGATCTCATCAAAAAGGTCATTCACCATGGTCAAGTTAGCTTGATGTGGGAATGGTTCAACATACCCAAATCAATTAATGTAATGCATCACATAAATGGACGTAAGGGCAGAAATCACATGATCATCTCAACAGATGCAGAAAAGACTTCTGACAAAATCCAACATCCTTTCATAATAAAAGTTCTGAAGAGATTAGAAATAGAAGGAACATAGTTCAACCTAATAAAAGATGTTTATGACAAACCTATAGCCAACATTATACTAAATGGGAGAATATCAAATCCTTTTCACTAAAATCAGGAGTATGACAATGGTGCCCATTTTTTCCTTTTTTAATTCAATATAGTGTTTGCAGTCTTAGTTGGAGCAGGAAGATGAGAATAGGAAGTAAAAAGGATACAAATAAGAAAGGAAGTCAGAGCATCCCTATTTGCAGACAATACGATGCTTTATGTAAGAGACCTTCTCATCACAGGCGCTCTGCTTCCTGATTGATGAGGTGATGTGACTAGCCAACCTTCAGCTCCTGCCACCAGCCCTTCCCCACCATGACCGACTGGATCCCCCTTGAACTACAAGCCAAAATAAACCATTCCTTCCTTTAAAACAAAGACCACCAGAAAGCTGTCAGAGCTGATAGACGCTTTCAGCAAAATGTTAGGACACAAAATCTATATACAAAAATCAGTAATCTTCATATATACCAACAACACTCTGAGAAAGAAATCGGGAAATAATGCCATTTATAACTGCCTACCTCCCCCCTTCCCCCCAAAAAACCCACCAGAATCTCAAGGTAAAAGATATGAAAACCCTTTACAATAAAAACTTTAAAATAATGATGAAAGAAATTGAAGAAGACCCTAGAAGACAAAAATAACTTCTTTGCTTGCAGATTGGAAGAATTAGTATTGTGACTATACTAGCCAGGCATGGTGGCACATGCCTTTAATCCCAGCACCTGAGAGGCAGAAGCACGTAGATCTCTGTGAGGTCAAGACCAGCCTGGTCTACGTAGCAAGTTCCAGGCCAGCTAGGGCTACAGGGAGACCCTGTCTCAAAAAGACAAAAAAAAAAAAAAAAAAAAAAATGACTATCCTATCAAAAGCAGTCTACAGATTCGATGAAATCTCCATCAAAATTCCAGTGCCATTCTTCACAGAAATAGAAAACACAACCTTAAAATTTACATGGCAGCACAAAAGACATTGACAACTAAAGCAATCCTGAGCTTTTAAAAAGAATAATGATGGCGGTACCATCATATCTGATTTTAAATTATACTGCAGAGCCACAGTAGCAAAAACAACACGGTATTGGCACAACAGACATGTACATAAATGGAACAGAAGACCCAGATATAAACGCACATAGCATTTAACCATATGAATTATGTTATTATTATGTATGTGTATATATGTGTGTGCATAATATGTGCATGGGGGGGATGTGCATGTACCATGGTGCATGTGTGAGGCCAGCAGACAACACTGTAGAGTTGGTGCTCTCTTTATAACATTACATGAGTTCCAGGGACTAAACTAGGGTCATCAAGCTTATGCTGCAGCGCCTTTACCTACTGAATCATCTTACCAGTCCACCACCTGATGTTTTGACAAAACTATACATTGAAAACAACCCCTTAAATAAATGGTGCTAGAAAAAACTGGATGTCCATATGTAGAAGAATGAAATTAGATCCTGATCTCTCACTCTGCACAAAAATTAACTCCAGGTGGGAAGATGCCCCAACAAGCACAGGCAGTTCTAGCAATACCTGAAGATCTGAGTTCAGTCCTTGGGACTCATGTGATGGAAGGAGAGAAGAGACTCCTGAAAGTTGTGTTCTGACCTCCACATGTGCTCTGTGGCATGCATGCTCACACACACCAACATACACACTCAATCAATCCATAAATGTAATTTAAGAAATAAATTAGCCAGGCATGGTGGCACACATCTTTAATCCCGGCACTTGGGAGGCAGAGGCAGGTGGATTTCTGTGAGTTCAAGATTAGCCTGGTCTACATAGCGAGTTCCACACCAGCTGGGGCTACAGGGAGACCCTGTCTCAAAAAGACCAAAAAAAAAGAAAGGAAGGAAGAAAAGAAAGAAATTAACTCCAAATGGATCAGACTTTAATGTAAAACTTGACTCTGAAACTATTAGAAGAAAAAGTAGAGAAAATACTTCAAATATATTACAGGCAAGTATTTTTTTCTGGGTGGGACTCTAGCCACTGAGGAGTTGACAAATGGAACCTCATGAAATTGAAAAGCTTCTGTACAGCAAAGGAAACAGTTAATCAAGTGACGAGACAGCCTACAGAATGGGAGAGAATATTTGCTAGCTATACATCTGATACTAAGATCTAGAATATACAAGGAACTAAAAAAAAACTAAAAAATAAAACAGCCCAGTCAATATAGTCTAATGAAATAGTCTATAAAATATAAACTATAAACAAGAAAAATATAAAAAAATGTTCAACCTCACTAGCCAACAGAGGAATGCTAATTAAAACTCCATTCAGATTCCATCTCACCCCAGACAGAAGGGCAGTCATTAGGAAAACAAGTTAACAAATGCTGGTGAGAATGTGGACAAAAGAGAACCCTCATACACCTCCACTGGCTATACCAGTGCTAACTAGTTTAGCCACTTTGTAAGTCAGTATGGATGAGTCTCATAAAACTAAAAATAGATCTGCCATATGACCCAGCTATATCACTTCCGGATATTTACCAAAGCATTCCAAGTAAACATGTCACAGATGTACTTGCATATCAATGTTCTTGTAGCACTATTCACAACAGCTAAGTTATGAACCCAACCTAGACATCCAAAAACAGAGGAATGGATAAGAAAAATGTGGTATATACATATGCATTCTTTTAGTCATAAAGAATGACTGGAGAGATGGCTCAATGGTTAAGAGCACTGACTGCCCCTCTAGAGGACCCGGGCTCGATTCCTAGAACCCACATGGTGGTTAACAACCATCTGTAGCTCCAGTTCCAGGGGATCTGACGCCTTCTTCTGACCTCCGAGGGCACTGCACGACACCAGTGTACTTACACACATGCAGGCAGTGCACTCATACACATAAAATAATAATAATAATATTAATAATAATAATATGATGCTATTTGCAGGAAAAGAAATTCAATTTAAGATAATCATAATAAGTGAATTAAACTAGCTTCAAAGATGAATTATTGCATGTTTTCTCTAGATTTTCTGTAGCTACATATATGTATTATGTTGATGACATGAACACAGAAAAACTGTGATAGTTAATCTCAGATGTCACCTTGACACACTGGGGAAGAGGGGCTCTCAAATGAGGAAATGTCTCCATCAGATTGGCCAGCGGGCATGTTGATGGGGCATTTTCTTGATTGCTGGCTGATGGAGGAGGGCCCGGTCCTCTGTGGGTGGTGCCATCCCTGGGCAGGTGTGCTTGGGCTTTGTAAGAAAAGGAGCTGAGCAGGCCAGGGGCATGCAAGCCCGTAGGCAGTGTCCTTTGTCTGCTTCAGTTCCTGCCTTGGCTTTCCTAGATGACGGACTGCAAACTGAAATAAGCCCTTTCCTACCCAAATTGGTTTTGGTCAGTGTTTTATCTCAGCAACAGAAATGCAAACTAGGACACTGTCCAAGGGAACAAAGTAGACAAACAGGAGGTGGAGGAACAAAGGGTGGGGGGGATGAGGAGTGGGATGGTTAATATTATCAACTTAACATGATCTAGAATCACCTGGAAGACAAGCCTCTGGGTGTATCTGTGAGGGATTATCTTGATTAGGTTCATTGAGATAGGAAGATCCATCCTAAAGGGGCAACACTATTCCATGGGCTGGGGTCCCGAACTGCAGAAGAAGGAGGAAGTGAGCTGAGCACCAGCAGTCATCACTCTGCTTCCTGAGTGTGAATGCGATGTGACCAGCTGCCTCATGCTCCTGCCACCATGACTTCCCTACCATGACGGACTGTACCCTGGAACTGTGAGCCAGAATAAACGCCATCTTCCTTAAGTTGCTATTTTATCTCAGCAATGGGTAAAGTATGAGCATGGGGTGGGGGGCGGAGTTATATAGTAAACACGTGTATGAAAACGCCCTTAGGCATCACAGTACCATGTAAGATAAACAAATACAATGCAAAAAAATTAAGTAGAAAATAAAGTCATAAAGCAGCTGACTATGTACATTTTCCTTTCTCTACAGGCAATTCACATTTACAAAGGAAACATCCATCTGTGCACCAGGAAGACAGCTACTTCCAGAAGACAGCAGCTGTCTGTCTGTCACTTGAGACTCAGACACACAAGAAGACAATACCGTCCTTTCTCTCCCCTTCTTTCAGTTGCCTCCAGACCCCACAAGCCCCAAACCCTTTTTCTGTGCTTGGCATGAGAGTTTAGGTTTAGCAGCCTTAACTACCTGGCTATTTCCTTGAAGCTCATCTTTCTTTGTGAACTTCCAAGCATAAGTATCTAAGAGGTTTCTTTCTCTTTTACCAGCTTGATTCAGTCCCCAGCCACTGTACCTGAGAGTAGGAAAATGTTTTTTCTTCTCCCATGAGTTTCCCTCCACTGCAACTTTGGAGAGCTCTACGAGGATCACAGTAGATAAAGTAGCACCTCCTCCAGGCAGCCCTCCAGGACTGCTTCCCACCCTTCTGGACACCCAGATGTAATCCAGGACCACTCACCTGCTGCACGGGCTCGATGGTCAGCTCCATGTATCGACTGATTGCCGTCATTGTCCTCAGTGGCCTGCAGTGTGACAGGCTGGTGAGAGGCACCCAATCTGAGTTCTTTCAAATGAGACAGGGAGACAGCAAGGAGAAAATTTAAAACCAGGAGACATTTTTCTAAAAACAAGCTCTCATTTTATTCAAAAGAACCCTTAAGCATCTTGTCTGTTTGGGGGCTGTTACCCCCTCTCTGCTTCCTATGATGTGTCTTCTTTCTCTTTGAGGTCAGTGGTACCCAAACTGTGCAGCAGCACAGTAAAATTAACTGAGGACCTTGGAAAAGTTGGTGAACAGAAGCTTAGTCTCTACTTTCTGATGCTGGGACTTAACTGGTACAAGGTGCCTAGAAACTATCAAGGTTGAGGGCTTCTTGGGGATCTTAGTGTGCCCAGAGTTTAGGAGCCACTGCAGTAGGCATTAAGTAAATGCTGTTCAAAGCACTGGTTCTGACTTGAGCCTGAGCTTGGGAAAGTTTGCAGGAAGCCACTCTTGGTTTAAGAGTGGGGACACCTCGTCCAAGGCCTAAGCGTTGAGCTTTTGCTGTCAAATCCGAAGTTCACTAGCCACATGCAACTGATAGCTATGAACTAAGTCCAATAAGAGGTCATAAACTTACTTAAAACATTATGAGATTTAGTTTTGCTTGTGTGTGTGTGTGTGTGTGTGTGTGTGTGTGTGTGTGTGTATGTATGTATGTGTGTGTGACTCAATTGCATGATTCTGAAGAGTGAACTTTGTAAATGATAATATTGGGCTGCAAAATCAAAAGGTTGGATACACGGGATCAGGACAGAGACCCAAAGGCTTCTCCTTGTCTGTGCAGAACACAGACACAGAGCTCTGGACTTCGAGCCCCTCAGTGAAGCATAATTTCATCAGTTCCTAGAATGGAAAGAAGGAAGCTCCCTTTGGGGCCTTCCTGCAAACTGGGAGCCAAGAGCCTAAATAACCCACCTCTTCCTTTATCATATACACCAATCTTCTATATTATGTCAACTCAGGCTACAATTAAGTCTAGAATGTCCTGGGAGCAGTTTTACTTTTTCCCTTTTCATTCACTCCCTCCCTTCCCCTTTCCTGGTTCTGGCAGCTGAAGAGGTCCAGTCTCCTGTGTTCCCATGCTCTGTAAGAGAATCCTTAAAAGCTGAAGAATCCAGGGAACAGCTGAATTGTTTAGTCCCCAAAAACTGGTAAAGGGGAGCTGCTTCTCTTCAAGCCCCTACAAGCTTTCTTCCTTGTGTTATGAGATACTTCCTTAATTATTTGGAACCTTTTGATGAAGACAAATTGCCTCAATTAGAATAAATTCTGGCTACTCGTAAAAGGTATCAGTTGGCATCAGGCAAAAAGAGACAAGGGGCTAGAGGTGTAGCTCAGGGGTAGAATATCTTGCCTAGTGGCAGAAGGCCCTGGGTGCCATTCCCAGCACTGCAAAAATATGGAAGCAAACACTTGCCTCAGTCCTATTGACTCTTACTAGTGGTAAAACGTGACTGCAAATGTTGGATAGTATCGTAAGCAACAATCTCCCAGATGAGCTCTGAGTAATACCAGCCCCAAAGCAGCAATATCAAACTGTGCTGACCACAAGTAGAAATTAGACCCTTATGACCTGGGATGAATTTCCAGAGACAGTATCACACAGATGTGCAAAGGCTGGAACAAATAGGTCAGCATACTGATGGCTCTGTCAGGAGGTGGTGGTGATGCCAAGTATCGGGGACATGGGGTGTGGGATGCCATTTTATGAATTTAAGGGTAGAAAAACCACATTGCTTTAAAATTAAGATACTAACTTGTGTAGTATATGAATCTATGTCTATAAGGAAATTATTTGAATAATATAAGTGAATAGTTGAGTATTACATCTATAGTGCTACAGATATAGCAAATTCCTTCATAATTAAAAACAACTGAAAAAATATCCTGGAACTAAGAAAATGGAGGATTCCATTGCATTCAAGGATCATGTTCACTTTAGACAGAAAAAGTCGTGTTTTAAGAAACCAAGCACGGAGAAACTTCCAGAATTCCCAGTCCTGCCTGCGCCCACCCATCCAGGAAACATGTTGGGTAGACCAGAAGTTTTCTAGCCAGAGTGACCTTGTCCTTGGTCCCGGTCTCCTGTTTTTCTTCTTTGTCTGCACAGGTCAGAAGGGCTTGGGTATCGGAGCTCTCTCTGGCCTCAGCGTCAAATCTGAAGGCTCGTCTCATCCTGCACTTCATCACACAGGACAGGAAGATGACCTCAGATGTGGAAGTTAAGGAACAGGAAGTGGAGAACTTCAGACTCCGGGTGCTGCCCCTTACACCTCACCCTCCCAGGAAGCCTGCCCTGAGCTTTGGTCCTTCCTGGGAATAAGCCTGTCCCCAGTAGACACAGCACATCTTAAGCACAGGACCTGGTCAGTCTTTTGATAGGTTTCTGTTGTCTGGGAAATGCTTGCTAGACAAAAACATTTGCAAAATCTTTCCTGATGGCATGGGGTACAGTGACAATACACACAGTGGGCAGAAGAGTATCCCCCAAATTCAAAGTTACCTGAAATTTCAGGCTGTGACCTTACTTGAAAGGAGGGCAGAGTGGATTATGGTGGGCCCTACATATAGGAACTGGAGTCCTTGGAAGAGAAGACGCACAGAGAACACAAAAGGAGGAAGGCCATGTGAAGACAGAGGCAGAACAAGGCCATGCCAGGTGTGGAGTACACACCTGTAATCCCAGCACCCCCAAAGCCTGAGGCAGAATCTCGAGTTCGCAAATTTGTCTCCAAAAGAAAAAAAAAATATAAAGCCACAGCTAAAGAACTCTGGGAGCCAAGGAAGCCAAAGGAGGGGTGAGGACAGCTTTACCCACAGAGCCTTGAGGAGGCCTACTTTGATTCTTAGACTTCTGGGTAATTTACACCACCCCCCACCTCCCACCCACACTGTAGAGCAACATTCAGTGGCTGTCCTCCAGCCACTTGCTGGGCTTTGCCTGCCCTTGAAACAATCACTCTGAGGTCACTTGGGTGACACCACATCAGGCAGCACCCATGGGGGCCCCAGTTGCCACTCATGCTCAGCAGTCACTGACTGACTTGCCAGCTTTGATCTCTGCCCCAGTAGCAGAGAACAGAGCAGAGGGCAGAAGGTGTCTGTATAGCAAGTCAGCTTTCAGAGCCCTCTCAAGGTGCTGGAGAAAGGCTTTACAGAGAGAATGAACCGGCTCCTCGGTGGGCAGGACCATAGGGAGATACATGGGAGGAAGCAGAACTGAGCTTGGAGCTGTGGTCTTTGACTCAGAGGCCCAGAGCCTTCCCATATTTAAAAAGGGAAACCATCAAACTGCAAATCACTGGATTGGTATGTGCCTGCCCTAGATTTCCAACCAACTAACTGCTGGGCCAGTATGCTGCCTAAGAAGATGGAAGGAGAGTATGACAGGTGGGAGGTAGGACAGGGCCTCTGGCTGCCTAGGCATAGGGTGGATACAGCAAGGTCCAGTGCAGCTCGGCCCAGTGAGATCAGGAACCAGGGTGTGGCCCGCAGCAGGTACTCAGGCTGCCGGTCATGGGCCACAATGGCTGAGGCATAGAGGAGGTCAGCCAGAGCTGACAGGAGCCGAGTCCACAGGTGGATGCAGGAGAATGACTTTCCCCGACACTGTACAGAGAGAAGAGGGGCTGGGTAGGAGGACACTGGATGCTCACAGCCCAGATCTCAGTGGCATAGCAGACTGGGAACAAGCCCTGTTACCACTCGCCAAGGCACTGCTCCTCCTAGGCACCAGCTGCTTTTGCCTGTAAACACCTACTCATCCCTCAGAACCTGGCTTACCCTTAATGCTGGAAACCTCTCCTTATGGGCACCAGTTCTCTTCTGGACCCTGTCACACCTGATGCATCCCTCTAACATGGAGTCTTTTACTAAGCAAGACTTTATTCAGAGGACTCCTGATGGCAGGCCAGTGTCCCATCTCAATGCCTAGCTCCTGACACTGGGTAGGATCTTGGGAATGCCAGCGGGGGATAATGACGGAGGTGGAGTTATGAAAAGCCGTGGCTCAGCCCTTCCCTGTGGAACCACACCAAACAGGGTTGTCAAGAGAATGAGAGATAACATTCTAGAAAGAGTGAAACCAAGGGGACATTTTGGGAGTACAAGTAATGGAGATATTGGTTCAAAAATAAGAAACATATGCAATATTTATAAGCCTTTTTAGGTATAAAGTGACTTACGGCCTCAGGAGGTAAAGACACCTGCTGCCAAGACTGACAGTTTGAGTTGGATCCCGGAAACCCACACAGTGGAAGGAAGAACTGACTCCTGCAAGTTGCCCTTTGATGGCCACACTCATGCCATGTGGCAACATATGTACCCCTCCCCCAATAAATGTATAAGAAGTCACTTTATATATACATTTCTATGTATATTCATGAGACTATACATTAATTGAATAATATATATTTAATGATATATATGCAAGTATAAAATGTTGCTTAACTAGGTGACTGTATTTAGAAATATTTAAGTATTGGCTAAGGAATGGAAAAGAATCAGGAGAAAATAACGTTTTAGCTGATTTTCTCTCATTTTTATTTTATTTTTTATTATTTAAATTATTTTATTTATTTTTTTTAATTTTATGTGTATGGATGTATTGCCTGTATGTATGTATGTAAGTGCACCCATGTCATGTAATGTCTGAGGAGGTCAGAAGAAAGCACTGAATTCCACTAGAACTAGAGTTATGGATGGTTGTTAACCACCATGTGGGTGCCCGGTCCTCTGCAAGAGCATCCAGTGCTCTTAACTGTTGAGCCATCTCTCCAGCTCCTCATGTTTACTTTAAATCCCCAAAGAATGCTCAGGTGGGCTGGAGATTGTAGCTCAGTGGTACAGTGCTTACCTAGTACATGTGAGGCTCTGGGTTCTATGTCTAGCACCACACAAAAACAAAACAATCAAGAATCCTCAGCAATGTACCATTTCCTTCTTCATTTCAGCTAGGCTTTGGCCCAGCCTCTGTTTCTGGTTACCATCTGCTCAAAGCCGATGAACAGAGAGACACAGTTGGGTGACTATTGTGGAGTACCTGGACATGAGGGTGGGCCTGGTCCCTGGCTCCTGGCCCTAGAGACTGAGGATAGACCCTTTCCCATGGTTCCTTTCTACTTCACACAGGCTTCTCAATGTCACTAAAGGTCAGAAAGGTCCCCAGCCTGACCGCCCCACCTCCAGCCCTAGGGAGCTAACACAGGTGGTCGGGGCACAGCCCTCACTCCCTTGGAAGGCTCCCTGCCATGTGGCCACCCCATCCCCATCCCAGAGACCCACCCACAGGCCACTACAGCTGACTCAGGGATCTCTGCCTCCTCCCTTAGCCTGGAGACAGGGCTCCTGAGGTGAGAGGCCCTCAAAGCACAGCTGGGAGATTTATGCAGTCACTAGTCACCTGTCCCCCAGGTCCTGGTCCCCTGGACCCACTACTAAACCATGGTGCTCCTGGGTAATTGGTTCTCTGAAGGCTAAATGACAGATCCATTTCATTCCCTGGTGTCAGGACCCGTGGGTGAGGCAGGAACAGTGTGACAGAGTCCTCTGTGGAGAAGACTCGGCAGGGCAGTTTTCTTAGGCACTGTGCTGCACAGTGGCTTTCCCAGACCCTCTCCTGTGCACAGACAGCCCTTCCGTAGCCTCTGCCTCCTCCCATCTCACCCTCCCTACAGAGTCACCTGCTGCCTGGTACTACTGACAGCTTCCACCCTTGTTTCCTGACAGTGCTGGCGCCTTCTCTCCCTTTTCCCAATCCCACCTTTCTGAGAGTACTCAAACCCCTTGTTGTACTACCTGCCTCCCATGGGACTGAACTCCTCAAGGGCACCCCATCTATTATGCTTCAATAGGCCTGACCAGATGCTTGGAAATACCTATCCATAAGACTTGGGTAGCTGACTGCTTTGGGCCTCTTGCCCTTCTTGTTCTCTAATGGGACCTTTGTGACCTTTTCCTGGTCTGCTTGGCCACTGCTCTTCACACACACTCACACAGTCATACACTGGCTTACACACAGTGACATGACACCTCCAGGATCTCCTGATGTTCTAACATCTGCCACATGACCCACAACCCTAGCCCCATTCCAGCCTCACGATTTTGAAGAATTGGGGGATCCGGGATGCCCAGGAGCCAAAGGCAGCAACACCACCCAGCAGGTAGCCAAGTACTTCTGGGTTTTCCTGCATGAACAAATGTACAGAGACTGTCCACGTGTTCCAAGAAGTGGCAAAGCAGACAAATCCTCTTCTGCTTTTACAAGGCTCCTCCCACCAGTGGCAAAGACTGACCTCTATTCTTTCCTGGGGCACTGGGTAGACAGACCCATAAGGAGGGAAGCAACCTGGACTACCCCATGTCCACCCCACAGTGGCTCAACCTCACCTGCAACAAGAGGCTTCCCAGCAGCCTTCGCTGTGGCCCTCGGACCAGGGATGAAGCTTTAGGGACAGCAGCCCAGATTGCCCAGCCTGGACCCAGGCTAATTGGTAGAGCCAGGGCAAACACACGGGCTCTGAGCCGCCTCCTCCTCCTCCTGTCCTGAGTGTGTCGACCTGCAGGAGATAGCAAATTCCTATGATCTCCTGGAACCTAGAACTTGCCAGATGGCTGGCGCTGGAGGCTGTGTATTCCAACCTCTGCTCCTATGTCCTGCTGTGATAGGTCCAGTCCCTCTTCAAGGCCCTAGGGTTATGTTCCTCTTCCACCCACCTCTACAACTGGTGCTGCTCTCCTTCCTTGGGAGGCAATCTTTTAATGTTAGTATGTGTGCAGACAGCAGTGCACCTCCTAGACTAGAGCCCCCAAGCACAAGCACATGTCCTAACCATTACTGTCATCTGCACAGAGCTTGGTGAATACACCAATGAGTGACTGGGTTTGTGTCAAGTCACCTACACTGCATGCAAAACAGACAGCAATGAGAGCAAGCATCCTTGGAAGCTTCCTTGGAATATGGAACACACACTCTTGCAAGCAGCTCTAAGAACATTTCTCTTTTTAGCAGCACAGAGCAGGCTAAGGGCATGACACATGACCCACCGATATGACCATATCTGCTTTTTTTTTTTTTGCGACAATGTCTCACTATGTAGCCGTGGTTGGCCTGGAACTCACTACATACACCAGGCTGGACTCAAATACACAGAGATTTATCTGCCTTTGCCTCTGCCTCCAGCATGCTGGGATTAAAGGCATGTACCACCATACCTGGCCAGCTTTTGGACAAGGGTCTAAGTACACTGCTGCCCCTTCCCAGGAACCCCCTACCTACTCAGGGCCACTTCCGGCCCAGCTCTGCCAGTGGTGATCCATGTCTGTTTCTGCCATCCGTTTCCAGAAATTGTGTGGCTTGGCTTAATCACCCAGACTTGCACACTGGGATATCACTGTCCCCTGAAGCTACATACCACCACTGCTCCTGACTTTGGCCCATGCTGTCTGCTTGCCTGCACCATCGATCCCAATGTCACATGCTTCCCTGTACCTGAAGCTCATCCCTCCCAGTGTTAGCCCGTGGTGTGACCCTGCCTCCCAAGACGCCAGCTGGAGTAATTGTTTAGAGCCCTATCTTTCTCATCTGGCTGGGGTCAGAAAACTCACTCATTTGCCTGTGTCTCTAGCTCAGGGGTGACAATAGACATCAGCATACCAGTGATGGATGAAGGGATGAAGACAATATGGTGGCCACACACTTACCAGACTTGGACTTGGATTTGGATCCACAGATAGGGAAGAGAACCAGCATGAAGTTCAGGAAGTCAACAGCTGCTAGGTAGGCACCCGTGAAGACCTGGGGCAAATGAACAGAGTCTGGGTGGTTAAGAATCTTTTCCCAGGAACCACAGCACCTGTCATTCTAGGATCCCCTTTGGTACATGAGTAACACTGGGATAGCACTTCCATGTGTATTCAGTGATACTCCCCCACCAACCAGGAGACAGGTGCTTAGATGACTGATCTAATGTTGCACATATGGCAAACAGTAGAGAAGGTTCGAGAACTAGGCCTCTGCTTCCTACTCTATACTCTTTCCATGATATGTGTGGTCTCTGCTATGGAGTTGTAGCACAGCCACTGAACAGCCCTGAGCCTTAGCTTTCCCATCTGTAAAATAGGCACACAACAAGGTCTCCCTTAAAGACTGTCATGCAGATTTCTGGAGACACTTCATGGAAAGAGCGTGGATCAAGCCAAGCCACACAATTTCTGGAAATGGATGGCAGAAAGTCAATGGCCTATAAAGACACCAGCAACAACAATATCATTAGTGTAAAGAGTGTGCACCGTGGTGTTGGAATCCTGGCCCTGGTATTTATTAGAGGATGACCTTATAGAAGCTCTGTGCCTTAGGTTCTACATCTGTAACAGACAAATGATGACAACAACCATGTGACTCGGCCAGCCACTTCGGGAGTAAAGGAGTCGATGCATGAAGGGAACTTAGTGTCAGGGATGTAGATACATATGTAACAAAGAGCAGCTATCTCTACCGGACTTGAGAAGAGCCTCATTTTATCCCATGAGCTAATGGGAAAGTGAGTCTGCTTCAGAGACAGCACTGTAATAAGCAAGGTGTGAAGCTCTCCAAATCAGTGTCTTGACCGCCAGGTTGCCTTCCTTTATCTCTGCCTATATGGACACAAGGCCAGGATCATGAGGTCCTTGCAGTAGGGTCTCCCAAATTGTTTTTGGGATATGTGTTTAGGTATAGGACCCTTTATTTGAAGGGCATAGACTTTTGGGAAACTAGAAACTGCTTCTCCTTTGACCCAAAGCCCTTATCACCACCATTGTCAAGTCTCAGCTCTGAAAACGGTAACAACAATAACTATTTACTGAGCATCTACAATGAGCGTGTGAAGTGATGGATGTGGCTGTGAATAAATCCTTGTTCTTGTGGATCACATCTTCTGGTGAGGTAAGGGCTCCACAGTAAGCAACAAATGGTGTCTGGAGTGTTGGTGGGTAAGTTATGAAAGAACAGAGCAGAGGGGAACCTGGAACACTTGTGGAAGAGACAGGTCACAATTATATGCAGGGAAGGTCTTATTTTGTTTTTAATTTTTATATTCTATCTGTGTGTGTCTGAGTATATCATGTATGTTTGGGTGCCTGCAGAGGGCACCCAGATCCCCTGGTGCTGGAGTTACAGGCAGCTGGGAGCTACTCAACATAGATGCTGAGAACAGAGCCTGGATCCTCTTAATTCCTGAGTCATCTTTGCAGCCCTGGGGGAGGCCTTGGTTTGGGAGGTGACTTTGAAGAAATGCTTGAAGAAGGTGAGTGATGATCTGTATGGATGTGTGAGAACAAGAACAAGGAGAAGGTTCAAACCTCATTCAATTTTATGTCTTACAGGGTTCATACGGAGTACAATATTGTATAACTGTATTAATTCAACTCTGAACCTAGAAACTTGCAGCCAATTTTGAGAGAGATGCATCTTAGCTCTGGAAATTGTTACTGAATATGTCAATGCTGTCGTAATGAAATGCTTCTTCTAATTATGTGGTTATTAAATAAATAATTTAAAAAAAGAAACACACTACATTGTATATTAAGAATTTAATTGCATATATTGATTTGAATAAATTAGGGCCAACAATGAATATTGTTAACTGATGTTCAAATTTAACAAATTATAGTGATAATGAATAAAATATATGTGCTTAGACACAGTACAGATTTTCATTAAATTAAGATCTGAAAAAAAAAAAAAAAAGAACAAGGAGGCAGAAAGAACAGAGGGAAACAGGGCCTCAGAGGAAATCGCCTTGCAAGCTGAGGGGGAGAGACAGAAGCCACTGTGATTGTGGCAGAGGAAAGAAAGCCAGGCCTGTGTTGGACAGAGCCACTGCTACATGTGGACTGGACATACCTGAATTGTGAGTTGTCTGGCTAGGATCGCCCCCACGGTGTCACACAGACTGGTCAGGAGGCAGCACCCAGCACACAGCGCAGACTGGTCTTGTCCACATTTCTTTGCAGATCTCAGGTAGAGAGCACTGGGGTGATAAGGGTGCAGACAGAACACAGGAACCATGAGTCTGGGGACAGGCCAGAGAAGATATCTAGAAAAGGCAGCATAACTTGTCTTATGAAGCCCTTTCTCCCTAGGTGTGGCACATGTTTCCAAACTTAGTTTACAGTGAGAAAGACCAGAACCACAAAACTCTGGTCAAGACCATGCTAGAAGCTGGAGCTCCCCATGTAGAGACAGACCAGCTGGACCAGGGGCACACAGCTGTCATCCTAGCACATGGGAGGCAGAGACAGGAGGTTGGCAAGGTTTAGGCCAGCTTGGACTACATAGTAAGACCCTATCTTTCTTTAAAGATAGGGTCTTCTGTCTTTTTATTCCTCCAAGGCAGGCTGGGTCCATGTAATAGCCCCTCTTCAACTTTACAAGCTAGCTGCTGGGTTCTGTTTTCTGAAAGGGTAAGAGAAGGTTCTAAAAGTAACCTTCACACCCCAGCTAACTGCAGAGGTAATTGCCTACATTTAATAGTTGTTTCTTTGAAATTAGAGTGAAATCCTTCTAATCCATCTGTACAGCAGGTGGCCAGTTTCTGCCAGCTTGCATGTGTTCCTTATGCAGAGAAAACAAAACTCAAAGACAGCATGGCACTCTGGGCTCCCCCTTCCTAGGTCCCCAACTCCTGGCATCCCTTCCTACAGCTCCTTCCTCACCGTCATACACCCAGGACACAGAGAAGGCATGGCAGGCTAGAAGAGCTAGAGGCCCCTCTGGCAACATCACCAATGCCACCTCAGTCACACAGCATTTTGGATATCTCCCTGTTGGTTTCTATGGAGAAACAGGCTGGGTTACAGCTCTGGTTTCATTCACTCAGAGGGTGGTTGGTACTCAATCCATATCTCTAGGTTCTGAGCATCCGACCTGAGGATCACAGACATAGGTGGAAAGCTGTTACCCAACAGCATAAACATTTCCGGAACTGTCAGCCCCAAGCCTGAAGCTCATAGTACCACCATCAGCTATAAATCTAAGATCTGGGCTTTTCAAACCAGTTCAGGCTCAAGGAGTGAAGTCTCAAGTTAGAGATTTGAGTCCAATTACTAGCAATAACTTATTTCCATCTTTGCATTTGAAAGAGGGGTAACTGTAGCCTAAAGTGATGAGGTAAGAAGCTGGCAGGCCTCTGGTCTCACACTCAGGGGGCTTCATCTTATGCCCTGTTGCTCTCAGCCATGTCCCTTCTCAGGGGCCAGGACTCCCAAGCTGACCTTATCCCAATCCACACACCATACCACTGAGGATCCACTCTACCACTGAGGATCCACTCTCTGTAGACAGGTGGGACATCAGGAGTCCTAAGAACAAAAGGGATGTATCTAGCCTCAGGCAGGGTGATCAGCAGGAGCCCCATTCTCCTGTCTGAGCAGCTGGGCATTCTCAGCTTGGTAGTTAACCTCTGCAAGCTTTGGTTTGAGGGCCTAGCATGCCTAACAGTCCTGGCTGCAGAGCTTGCTTGAAGAACAAAGGAGGCAATGCCATGACAAAAGAGATGATGCATGCTGAGCCCTCTGAGTTTGCACCCTCTGATCCACAGAGCTTAATCTCTGTAGCCTAGCCCTGAGAGAAAGAAAGGACAGGCTTCCTTTCTTTCTCCAGTAGGTTAGTACTCAGCCAGCAGGCTCCTCATCTGAAAGCGTAGTAACAGCATATACCTCAGGGGCTGGAGAAGGGAATGAGAGAGGGCCTGGATAAATGCAACCCAGGCCCACAGTGTCTTTATTCTTCTCCAGTCACTGGGCACTGGGGCTGCAGACTCTTGAACCACCATGGAAAGTCTGAAGGGACTGTCCAATGAGTGCTAAGGTGAGGCAGTTCCCACAGTGGGGATGGAGGGATGCTGCTGGTCCTTTCTCTGCTGCCTAGGTATACTTGGATGGCACCGTTCTGGAAACAGACTCTGGATTTCTGTGCATGGGACAGGGTGGCTGAAGACCTGGCTTTACTCTTAGAGCCCAGGCCATAGGGAAAGGTCAAACCACTTACTGCAGGCGCTGGACAAAGGCAAGGGCTATGGTCCAAGTCAGATCTTCACTCTCACACCTCTTTCCAGCTAAGATGGCTTTGGGTAAATTGAGACTAGAAACATCAAGGGACTTGCCAAGGTCCCTAAGGGTTAGTGGCAAAGCTAGAGCGATAATGGTGTTTAACACTGCTTTGCCTGTAGTGCCTCATTTAATCCTCATACTTATTTTAGGAGGTATATCCTCATTCACAGGAGGCCCAAGGGTGCTTACACCTTGCCCAGCCCACACCACCAGTCAGCAGGGAATGGCTGACAATAAAACCTAGTCTGAAGTCACATCCACTGCACCACCCAGCCTCCTCTTGGCTCACAGCCCAGGTTCCCTGTGTGCGGAATCTAGAAAGAAGGACCCCACTCCAGTGCACAGAGAAATGCCAGATTTGACTCCAGACTTGTGCTGCCTCAATGCAAGCCCCCTTTGTGCCCCTTCCTCTAGGTTTCTAGGAGGGGCAGCAGCGGGTAGCGCCCCATCTCCCCCGGTGACCCCTCGCGTCGCGGGTTCCGGCTCCATTACAGCGCGTGGGCGGCGATCCAGCAGCTGGAGGCGCAGATCCACAGTCCAAAGGAGATGCAGACGCGGTGGTGGGCGAAGCAGCGGTCCAGGTAGTCCCAGCTCCAGAGCGCGGGCGCTGGGCTGGGCCCCTCCTCCATGGCCCCGCGCTGCCCGAGCCTCCGCGCGGCGACCGGCAGCTCCAGTCGCGCAGCGGTGCTCCGCGGCCTGCACCCGGGCTCCGCGGCCGATCCCCGCAGAGGTGGGCGCGTCCCCTCCAGCCCGCGGGCGAGGGCGGCGCCGGCAGCGACACTGGGTAAAAGTTTCCGGGACCGCGCGGCTCCCCACCCTCCCGCTATTGTCGGGGGTCGGCGGGGCGCAGGTCGCCCCCCAGCGGCGGAGCCGCGAGCAGCCTTCGCACAAAGGCCGCGCCACAGCCTGGAGCTAGGTCCGCAGGCTGGGACTCAGCCCAGCCCCTGCAAGGTTCCCAGCCCCTGTACGGTCTCCAGCCGAAGCTCAGTTCCTAACCGGGGTTCGGTTGCCAGCTCCTCCAAGCTCCCCAGCCCCGAGCGCGACGGCCAGACGCGAAGCCACCGGCTCTGGAGGGCCGAGTCAACTCTGGTTGCGGTAAGGCACTCATGCTCATCACTAATTCGCAGCATTTCCTGAGGTGGACACTACACCCCCCAGGTGACAGTACTGGGTTCCTTCCAATCGTTAAAAGGGTGTAACTTAAAGAGTCAGGTGGGAGACCAGGAAGAAAGAGCAAGGGTTCTGCGAACAGATGTCCTCTGCACCCAGGTCTTACTATCCCGAAGATGTCAATAACTGGCCCTTGGCCTAGGGACCATGCCCTGGATCCGTCCCTGCCAAGGAGGGATTAATGTTGGAATGTACCCTCCCATCCAACCACAGTGCCACACAACTCAGGTAAACGGATGTTTTTCTTTAAAACAAGCTATTAGTATGTTTCTAAATTGTTTTTATTGGTTTTAGTAAGTTTGCTTAAAGCATGACATGACTTTCATTTCACTGTTTTTGAGAGGGTTTTGACCATGTGGCCCAGGCTGGCCTGCGAGTTCACTTAGCAGACCAGCCAGGCTCCCCACTCAAAATCCTCCTGCTTCAGCCTCTGGAGGGCTGGGGTTGCAGGCAGGGTCCACCCAATACAGTGTGTCAGGCGTTGCTATGGTTTGACTATTTGTGTATCTTGAAATTCCATATACTGACTGAAACTCAGTTACTAATTTGATGGTCTCAGAAGGGGGTGCCTTTAACAGATGACAAGGTCATGAGGTTGAAGACACATCAAGCAGTTACTACAGAAGATGCAGGGAGCAGGCTCTTACCAAACACCAGACCTGCTGCTGCCTTGATTTGGATTTCCTTGTAAGAAACAAAGGTACATAGTTTATAAGCTGCTCAGTCTAAGTCACTTTGTTATAGCATACTGTCCTAGTTTGTTTCTCCATTGCTGTGACTGTAAGAGTGAAACCACAGAGGACAAGTCAGCCTTCGGGTTGCAACAGCAAGAGGTTTATTTAGTACACAGGTACCTGTGGGCACAAAGTCTCCTCGGAGGACTTGCGCGCCCCAGGTCGGGTTTGTGGAACTTTTATAGAGCAGAAGCGGGATACAGAAGCAGAAGCGCGGTTATTGGCTAATTTAAACTATTACAAAATGCTACGGGGAAAGCGGGAAACTTACTTATCAGTAAGCCAGATGTCT